GAAGTACGAGGTTTTCCTGATCATAATCATTTCAGGAAACTTTAATAATCCAAATATACACTGTTAGCAAACTTTCAAAATCCCAATGCTCTTGTGATTGATAAGGGGGGCTGGTGGTGGTGGAGGATGTCACTGTCCCGGCCAGCTGCTAATTGACATTCCCTAAGATCCCTGAGTCACCCCGTCCCTGTGAATCTGACCAGAATCAACAATCAGATATGATGGCAAAGAGCTTTGGGCTCTCAGTGAGGGTACCCATCTCATCCATGCCTCACATACATACTTATCTATGGGACTGAAGGGCTAGGGAGTCACAAACTTTCATGGCTGTAAGTAATCAACTGCCTGACTTCTGATACTTTGGATACTCATGTTCCTTCTTGACACCTCACCCACAATCTCAACCCTAACCTAGACCAAGCCCTATTTGGTCACTGTTTGGGCCCTGCTTGGCTCAGAGTGAATGCAAATCACAATTATTTCTGTTTTAGCCAGAAACCCTGAGCATGTTCGCCTCCTAGATCTTTTTTTTAAAGAGGCCATTCTTTGCCTCATTTTTTTTTTAAATAAGCCTTAATCACTGAATGGGTGCTGCCTCAAATTGAGATCTGCTGAAGACCTTAGCTTGAAAAAGGCAAGGTCCCCACTGCATCCTGGGCTATCTCCAGTTGTCCTGCTCCATATCTGGCCACTGGACCCAGATGGCTCTGGAGGAGAAAGTAAGGATGGTGGCTTTGCACAGCCCTTCCTCACTTAAATCCAATTCACTTGCATGTCATGGCATCACCTCTGTGATGTCATGGTCCTCTTTGTGAAGGAAAGACAAACAGCAATGTATATATATATACATATATATGCATATATATATATATATGTGTGTGTGTATATATATAATATATAAAATGTGTGTACATATATACCTATATATATAATGTGTGTGTACATACATACATATATAATACATGTGTATACATATACACATGTGTGTATATATATATTGTATATATGTGTGTGTACATACATACATATATAATACATGTGTATACATATACACATGTGTGTGTATATATATATATATTGTATATATGAAAAGGGGAAGACAACATGCAAATAACTATGTACAAACAAGCTATATTCAGGAAAAATAGGAAATAATCAATAGAAGGAAAGCACTAGAATTAAGAGACACCAGAAAAGGCTTCCTAGAGAAGATATTATGCTGGGACTTGAAGGAAGTCAGGGGAACCAGGAGGCAGCAATTAAGAAGGAGAGCATTCCAGGACAGCCAAATGCCCTCAGTAGGGAGATGGAGCACTTGTCTGAGAAATAGAAAGAAGGTCAATGTCACTGGATCTCACAGCATGTAAGGAGATGGGAGTGGAGAGATATATGGTATAAGAAGACTGGAAAGGTGTGTATGGGGGTGGGGGTAGGGCAGGTTGTAAAGATCTTTGAGTGGCAAGCAGAGGATTTCATATTTGATCCTAGAAGTGAGAGGGAACTGCTAGAGTTTACTGAGTGGGAAGTGGTGGGGGATGACATGATCAGACCTGCAATTCACAAAGATCGCTCTGATAGTTGAGTGGAAGATTTACTGGAAAGCAGAGACTTGTGGGCAGGCAGACCAAGTAGTAGTAGGGATGGATTGATCAAGTGAGGGGTTTTTGAGGATAAGGGAGACCATGGGCATTTTTGTAGGTGGTGGGAAACAGAGACAGATTGAAGATAAGTGAAAGTGGAGATGAATGACAAGGCATTAGGTGTGTAGTTGGTAAGGGCACTTATCTGGGAATCAAAAGAACTGGAGATTAGTCCTGGGCTGGCCACTAGTGCACTGGTGACTTTGGGATGTCTTATCTGTAAAATAAGGGGCTTCATATTCCTGACATGTAAAATGTGAGGATTGAACTAGAGGCTCTCTAAATTCCCCTCCAGCTTTAAAATTGAATGCTATTATAAAACTATGGCTCACCTCTAGGCTGAGGTCATAGACTGGTGACCTTCACCAATCCCTTTCCTAGAGATCTGACCTGTTTGCCAGGGGTTCATTCCTCATTCCTGAGGAACAGTTCAGTTTTTGGCTCAGTTCTAAGGGATTCTCTCCTGTCAGGGAGGAGAAAGTAAAAAAGGTACCCAGGGTACAAACATGAATTAGGTATGAAACAGGCAGTTTTGTTCTCACACACAGAAAAGAGAAGGCTAAGTGATTCAAAAAAAATCATAGAATGATTAAAATCCATTGGGAGGCTAATATTCAAGCCCAGTTTGGATATTTGCAAGCAACTTCTCTGACAGAGCTACTTCTTACTAATTTTTCTATTTCCCCTCCACTAAGTCCTGCCAATCAATACCAAGCAGGCCCTTTGTTCAGCGGTTTCTCCCTCTCTCTGTGGGTAATCCTTTCCCTCCTCTGGGCTAGTCTGTTTCTGTCACTGTTTCCAATGCAACTGCTCCAGCAGCTGAGTTTCCCAGGAAGGGGGAAAATGCCAGCTGTCTTTTGAGATTTCACAAGGCCCTGCACCAAAGGAAAGAAGACACAATGAGGAAACCACCCCATCCCAACCCTTGTCTAGGGGGCCAGGAGCTTGCAGCCTGTGTGGGGGAAAGGACATGGTTCTGCCAACCATCCAGAGGACAGAATCATCCTTCTAACCGGAGGCAGGCAGGAGGAAGAGGCCTGAGGGATAATGATTGTTCCTTTAGTATACATACTGAAAATTTCAGCTTCTAATCCAGTCCAATAAACATTAAGCACCTATTATGTGCCAGGCACCGTAGTAAGCACTGCGGATAAGATCAATAAAAAGACAGTCCCGACCCACAAGGGTAACCTAGAAGAATAATCTAAAGGGGGACACAACAAATAGAGGGAGGAAAGGAAGGGGGAACTGGGGAGAACTATTGTGGGGGCATTTTGTTCCACGGAGTTGAACTCAGGCAGAGCAACAGATGCAAAATGGAGTGAGCTGAGAGGATTCAATCTCTGTCTTCTGTAAAGGAAGGCATTGGGAGGAGTTTGGTACTCTGCCCTCCAAGTCCTCCAATCAGAGGGAAGAGGAGGCTGAGGGAGGGGATGTCAATCAAGGCTCGAGTAAGCAGCATGATGGTGAGATTAGAAGTGATGAGTTTATCCCGGAGGAGCATCTTGTTCAGTGGAATTGAAACTAGGCTGAGCAGATGCAAAGTAGAGTCTTGGCTTAGTAGCTAATTAAAAGCTTTGCAGAGTTCTTTACAAATATTATCTCATTTTATCCTCACAATAATCCAAGGTGATGGTGGAGGTGGGGAGAGGTGTAGGAGTTATTATTATCCCCATTTTGCCGATGAGGAAACTGAAGTTAAGTGACTTGTCCAGGGTCATACAGCTAGCACCTGAGGCTAGATTTGAACGAGGGGTTTCCTGGCTCCAAGTGTTCTTTTCATTGCATCACCAACAGGAAGCAGTTAAAGGACACCTGCACTTGCTCTCAATAGAGGCTCGAAAATGAATCCCCTAGAGAAGGTTACAGTATTTTATAAAACCAACCCCCAAGCTCTTGAACTCTTTAAAGCACTTTCTGCTTTTGTCGGTAACTTCAGTGAACGAGTGTTTCATTTCTTGGTATGGTATCATGACACTTTATAGGGTCAGAGATCTAGAACTGGAAAGGACCTCCAGGTGCTGCTAGTTCAGCTCCTTCATTTCACAGAAGTTGAAGCTCAGAGGACAGAGGCCATATGTCCTACTGTAACATGGTGCCTTCTATGACAGGGGCTGCTAGGTGAAGCAGTGGACAGAATGCCAGTCCTGGGGTCAGGAAGACTCATCTTTCTGAATTCAACTAGCTGTGTGACCCTGGGCAAGTCACTTAACCCTGTTTGCCTCAGTTTTCTCATCTGTAAAATGAGCTATTTAAGGAAATGGCGAACTACTCCAGTATCTTTGCCAAGAAAACCCTAAAGAGGTCACCGAGTCAGACATGACTGAATGACATTATCATCAGATCACAATATACAGTCAACTTCTGCCATTGATAATTTTTCTTAGAGTTCCACATTGTGAAAACCATCGAGGCATCTTGTACCATCCTTTGCTTCATCTGAGGAACAAATTAAACATTTTGAAGGCATAATATTGTCTGGAAGTGATATGAGACCTTTCTGCAAAGGAATGGCCACTAAATAGAGGGGTATGACTGTGACTGTATTAGGAATAATACTGCCACCCAGTGGCCATTTTCCAGGCTTTGTAAAACCACCCAGTTTTATAGGTAATGCCACCCTAGGAAGTGAAGTATAGAGGACATGGCAACAGGGATATGTGGTTTATGCCATTTGTTGCCAAGGACACTGTTGGGCTTCAGACTAAATGCTGGCATCTGATTAAATTCCAGACTCCCTCTCAAGGTATTTCCAAGGTTGGTGGTGATGGTGTGGTATAAATGGTTAGCTACTGTGCTAACCAACTGGATCAGCTGGCTTCAGCATTTATTAGAGGTGTAAATCAACCCTGAGCGAGACATTTAACCTCTACAGACTGGAGTTTCCTTTTTTTATTTAATGGAGATGATACCTGACCATCTCAAAGGGGATTTGTGAGAATCAAAACATAACGGCTGATATCACTGTAGCTCCTGAAAGTTTACAATATGCTTTCTCTCACCGTCTAGTGCTGATAGAGGGATTATCACCCTGTTTTTAGAGATGAGGAAACTGAGGTCAAGACTGCCTAGTTACACAGCTACTGTCAAAGGAAGGATCTGCATCCTGGACAGCGTTATTCCAAGTCCAGTACTCTATGCAATACACTACCGTGCTTCCAAACACAATGTGAAGTTTAGTAACTATAACTCTACACACATATTAGGCATTAAGAACCAATACCCTCATGAAGGTGGTCAATAGAAACAAAGGGGGTGATTGCTCTGGGGATTCAACAGTACAAAGAGGCCTGTATGGTTGTCACAAAAGGGTCAGGGTTAAAATGAGAGGGAGAAGCACAGTACTAAAGGCAACACTCCTACTCTCACGCCAGTAACATTTATTACACACCTAAAATACACAAGATTCTGTGGCAGGTAATGAATATATAGTGTTTGATTTTAATCAGCTTCCCCTCCATCACACCTCCCCCCACACACCACTTGTAAGGGCCGTGAAGCAAACGCAGTAACAAAGCATTACAAGACAGATGCTGTGTTTCTTTTTTAATTTTTCACGTTAACAGGTTTTGCTGAGTTTTTACATTTTGAGTTATTGCATATTTGACTCCAAGTTGCAGAGACGGCAAGAATGAAGTCACAACTGTGGGAGGAAGGTGACAGGGCTAACTGTTAACAGGAAGGCAAGGTATTTCCCCTTTAAGTCAAGGGTAGTTCGAGGGGTTTTTTTTTCTTCTTAAACATTAATAGAATTAGAATGTTACAGCATGAGATCTTAAGAATCATCTAGTCAATTTGCTTGACAGATGAAGAAACTGAGACCCAGAGATGTGAAATGACTTGCTCAAGTCACACAGCTAGTAAGTGGCAGTCGGGAATGTAAGCATTTAAGGAATGAAATCGATTACGTATGGAACTAAAAGTGGTTTGCCATTTAATAACAATAACTTTGTGAAAAGTATTACTCGATAATACTTGTCTATCCTAGCCTCAGTTATGAGGATTAGTTTATACAAAAGTGATTTGTAAACAGTGAAACAATCGTAAATTGATGTTAACAAAACTATGGCTTTAATAAAAAGAAGTAATAACATTCTTAGGAAGAAGTAAAGATTGTAAAACATGAACATATGGTAACTATCAAAAGTCCCCACTGTCATACTCTCATATCCTGTGACTCCCTTCCTCTGGATGGCTCTGACTTATCAATGCTCTATGTGGTCAAGATTGCCCTATGACTTGAGAGGTATTTGATATGTGTTCTTAGTAGGCTTGTGCCATGGATGTTGTGCATTTTTAACATCTGTATACATTTCTCTACAAATTACAAATGAGCATAGCAGATCCGACGACAATACTATTGTCTGGAATCCCATGCCTCTTCTGCTGGGCTGAATCAAAGTCTCTTCCTAAGTCTAATATGAATTGCCAAGGACACTCAGGTCTAAAAGCAGAACCGTGCTACAATATTATTGCCTAAGGCAATGGAAATGAGTGATGCCCCTTCCCTTGAATAAATGCAATTACTTTATCAGATGCAGTTGTATATCGTCATAATTAAAACATAAAACAATCCCTTTGAGAAAGCTGAGCAGTACTGATTGAAGGTTCATAAGGAAATGTTAATAAAATTTAATTCATTATATCACAAGGGTTATTTGGTGTAAAAATGCTAGTAATCAAGTTCTTTGGTCTTGATTTTCCAGTTTTCCCCTTAAATAACATTATTTCAACTTATACTTTCAGCACCTTAGAAGCTACCTAAAAAGCAGCATATTTTTCTTGCCATAACCTGGTCAATATCATTTCTAAACATACATGGGATAATCTGCAGCTGCTTCAGCTCCCAGACATCTAGGAATAAATCAGTGGTGCCATGAGCAATGACCCATATATTCTTTACTTAAATTAGGATTGGCCATACAGGCCCTGAAAGAGCTCTCATTTCAGTGGATATGAATTTTAGTCATTTAGGGCTTGTGGGCAAATGGAGGATATTTTCCTTATGTTCTGGGATTAAACTTAAATGGTAAAATGCTAAGTAAAAAAAATCTTCTGAAAAATTTAACTAATTATGTAATTGATAATCTAACATTCTGAACTTACTAAAAGCATAACAAAAGTCCAAGTAGGTATAACAGTTTTTACTTCACATTAATGTTAAATAAAGTCCAGATATACACTGTTCAATATTCACATTGGCAAACCAGCTTGACCATGTGATTTGAACCAAGTTGAAAATCTCCCCAAAATAGTTCCCAAAACCCCTACACATCTGTTTAACTTGCCATGATATTTTACTTTGAATTGACATAATCTTTATTTCAAAATAGCATTTATATTATAAAAATGTAAAAATCCAGCAAAACCAGAAATATTGAGATTCTTTTTTTCTGGGCTTTCACATTCATTGATTTTTTTTTCAATTCTCTCTTTTCAAAACAATTTACATCATCCCCATTTCCAGTCTGATTACACAAACACATTATGGTAGAAGGGCCTAGAATAAATACATAAAGAAAAGCCAAGGCTGTGAAGCTAAGTATATGCAGCAGGTTCTACCAGGGAGAAAAAAGGAGTCTTGGGAATGGAATGATTCATAAGTGAAACAGGAATAACTGACAGATGGGAGATGCCTTTCAGTCATCTTTGTCTTTTGCTCCATGTTTAAGGATGCGTGTGAACTCAATATAATTGAAATTTCCCTTTTTGTCAATAGGTGCTTCTCTATACAGCTCATCTACTTCTTCATCTGTAAATCGGTCCCCCATTGTTGTCAGTAGTTCTCTCAGGTAATCCTCCTGAATGGTGCCTATGAAAAAGGAAAAATAGTGCGTTTGAGGGAGGAAGTATTTTCTTCAATTTTCCTGCAACTTCAAATTCCTTAGGACACGCATCACAAAATATTTCAAATATCTATAGGATCACTAAATCTGGAAGGGAATTTCAGAGATTATCTAGTCCAGGGGTGAGGAACCTTCAGCCTCAAGGACACGATGTGGCCCTGTAGGTCCTCAAGTACGGCCCTTTGACTGAATCCAAACTTCACAGAACAAATCCCCTTAATAAAAGGATTTGTTCTGTAAAACTTGGACTCCGTCAAAAGGCTGCATCCAAGGACCTTAGAAGGCCACATGCTGCCTCCAGGCCGCAGGGTCCCTTCTTCCCCCTCCTCCCCCATCTAGTCCAACCCCTCATTTATAGACAAGGAAACCAAAAATAGAAACTGCAGATATAGGTACAAACAAGGCTGTCATCTACAAATGGAAAATGGAAAACTGAAACAAAGAACCACGGTTCTCCACTTTACTTTGAGCCTCTGAAGTTAATATCTCTCTACAGAAATAATTTTCCAATGACTTCTATTTTTTTTCACTAATGTTTACCATTATCTGAAAACATACAATTTGGGTGATGATTAAATGAAATTATGATAAAATTATTTTAATGTAATCATGGATTGTAGTTAAGATTAAAATTTCACTACTGATCTATAAGGAATCGATATGAAAATTGAAGGAAAAACTCAACCACCAATGGAACAAACATTGGTCAAAGAATTTTCAAGGGGGTACACTTACTGTAAACAACTTTAAATATATTTTCAACCACCTTACAGAGAAATGCAAACAGAAACAACTGCTTTACTCCCACTAAATTGACAAAAAATAACTTGTAGCAAAACTCAAAGCCGGTAGAGTTGTAAAGAAACAAGCATATGGAATTGTAAAAGTGGTACCAAATTTTTAGAGGACAATCTGACAGCATACAGTATGAGTCATAAAAATAATTACAGGTTTTAACTTGATAAGCCCACCATTAGAATTATACTTTAACAGAGTTATTGTAAATGGGGAAAAAAGTTTGCCAATATAAACATCAGCACTATCTATAAGTCAAAGAACTGAAAATCAAACTACAAAATGGTTGGTAAACAACTGGATAAAACTCTGGTATTTATATATATATATAATGCCATTAAAATGATAAATATGCAGCATATAAAGAAACTTGCAAAGGTCTATCTGAAGGGATGAGAAGAGAAGAAAACAGAACTTACCAAACCCTATGACTGTATAAAAAGAAAATTGTGTATATAGAGAGATAAACTGACTTAGTGGACTGGGCATCAGACTTGGGAGTAAAGAAGAATAGGATTCAAATCCCACCTCAATTACTGGCTTTGTGACTCTGAGCAAGCACTTTATTTCTGTATCTCAGTTTCCTTATCTGTAAAATGAGGGGGGTTGTTGTTGCTGGACTCAATGGCTTCTAAGATAATTTAACCCCAAATCTATGATTTTGATATAAATATTGACATGAACAAAAAAACTGAAAGGGAGACACAAATAATAAGCTTTTATGGATATACATGCAGAAATTTCTTTTTCTATAGTGCCTGGCACATAGTAGGCAGCTAAATGTGTGCTGAATTGTATTTTAAAATTGTAAATTGCGTTTCTTTGCTTTTGCTGTTAAGGTGGGTGCATCTTCCTTGACTGCTTCAGAGGTAGAGGCCTATGGGTAATGGAATACTGCCTACTCTGTCACATGTAGTAAAAGAGGGATATATTTGGAACTGAATGTAATATAGCAGCAATAAAAAAAAGCTTAGTAAATAATTAGATACTAAAGGCAATTACATACTATGACAGGAGTTTTCTTGGAAGCATAAAGTACAACAAAAGACCTAAGTATTCCAATAATCTGAAATGAAAGTTCTTAGCTTTTACAGGAACAAAAATACTATTTTCATCAGGCAATAATACTTCTCTTAATCTTGGACATTAGCTAGTGAATATTATATTTGTTTCAAATGTTATAATGAATTTTTAAAGCAGTAATATAAATTGTGTAAAAAAAAATTTTAAACTACTACAAATAGATAAGATTTCACTTCTACTGCATTCTAGGCCATTTCAAAAAATATTTCCCTTTTAGGAGCAGCTGGCAACTAATTTTATCATGGGCCTTTAAATTGGATTGACTAAAGTAGAAATTGTGTTAAAATCACCAAATAAAATATGGCACTAACTAACTCAAGTGACATACAATCTTCAATGTGAAAGAGAAAAGTATCTGCTATGTAGATATACAGCAAAAATTTGCAGGTAAGTTGCTAAGGTAAAGGATATAGGCTACCATAGCTGTAACAATAACAAAAAGACCAAAAGAAAAAAATATATTCATTTAATAGATCAACATTTTTCCCTTCCATGAGAGATGAACTGTTAAAAAACACTTTGTTAAACTGAAAACTGTAAAACATTCAAAGAAACAGGAAAACTGAAAATCAATCATTTGGGTGAGGAAGAGGGATGCTTAGGAAGTTAGGGGAAGAACTGAATAATACCCTAAGTCTCTAGAGAAGGGGAGAGAGGGGAGGAAAAAAAAGTATCTGCTTTTAGAAGTAGTTTCCCAATGGAAAGAGCCAAAAGAATTAAGCTCAATGACACAAATCCTAGGGATTTGTTTGGCATTATAAAAGGAGCTGTTGGATTAGGAGATAAAACATAAATGGAATGTTAATATGTTCAAGAGAACAAGAATTGTCTCAGCAAACTGTATTCAACAAAATCTCTACTCTTAAAACTCCTACCTAGTCATGGGACCTGTTTATCTCATTTAGCAATAGTTGTATTTCCCTCCTTCCCTTAACTTTGCCAAGAAGTTCAGCAGTGATATACACCCAATGCTTTTGCTTCCTCTCATACCTACACCTCCACTTACCTGTTCCTTTTTTTTTTTTGCTAATTGGCAAATCTAATATGCCTTTTTTCAGTCCTCATACTCCTTTACAGCCTTTACAACTCTTTCTGCAGCCTGTGACATGTGAGTGCTTATTTTCTGCTGTATCTTCTTCTCCTTCTTTAACCTTCAAAGGCATCACATTCTTCCGGTGCTTTACTAACTATTCTTCCTACATCTGGTGATGATACTTCTCATTCTCTTCTAAACTCCTTATCCAAGTTTCCCCCAGGAATGGTCCTTGACCTTATGTGCCTTCCCTCTATGCTATCTCCCTTGCTCAGTCCATTCACTTCCATAGATTCAACTACCACCTTTTAAGCAGATGACTTCCAAACTTTTAAATTCGGTTCTGACCACTTCTCTGATGTACAGATCTCCACCTCCAGCTACCTAGAGGCCATCTCCATATGGATGTTCTACCTGTTGTTGAGTCATTTCAATCATGTCTGACTCTCTGTGACCCCATTTGGGGTTTTCTTGGCAAAGATAGTGGAGTGGTTTGCCAAGGGTCACACAGTTAGCAAGTGTCTGAGGGTGGATTTGAACTCATGAAGAGGAGACTTCTTGACAGGTTTCTTCAGACCTGCTCTTTGATATGACTTCATTATTTTTGTTTATGGCCCCATTAATCCTGTTTCCTATCTTCATAATACTGAAGTTACCTTTGACCCCTCTTCCTCACCTCTTATGGTCAGTTACTATATCAATCAATCAATAAGCTTTTATTAAATGTCTACCATGTGTTATGCCCTTTACAAAGATAAAAATGAAAAATACTCAAGGAACATATATTTTATTAGAATAGACAACATGTATATATATGTATATAAAGTATATGCAGAATATATACAAGTTACAGAGAAAAGAACAGTAACAGGGAATCAGGAAAATCAACTATCTATAGAAAATGGTGCTTGAACTGTATCTTGAAAAAAGTTCTTATGCCCAAAGGGCTACAAAAATGTGCATACCCTTTGATCCAGCAATAGCACTTATAGGGCTATATCCCAAAGAGATCATACAAATGGGAAAAGGACCCACATGTACAAAAATATTCATAGCAGCTCTTTTTGTGGTGGCAAAGAATGGGAAATTGAGAGGAGGCCCATCAATTGGGGAATGGCTCAGCAAGTTGTGGTATATGAATGTAATGGAATACAATTGTGCTATAAGAAATGATGAACAGGCTGACTTCAGAAAAACCTGGGAAGACTTATGTGGTCTGATGCTGAGTGAAGTGAGCAGAACCAAAAGGACTTTGTACACAATAACAGCCACATTATACAATGACTAAGATTGTTAAACTGAACCCTTCTCAACATTACAAGGATCTAAGACATCTCCAGAGGCCTCGGGATAGAAAATGCTGCTATCACTTATTTCTACCTTCTGCTGAGTTTTGTTTCATCTTTCTGATGGTTCCTCCCATTGGTTTTAATTTTTACTTACAACTTCACTAATGTGAGATTATGTTTAATGGGTATGTAAATGTAAAGTCTATATCAGATTGTGTGCTGTCTTGGGGAAGGTGGGGGGGTAGGGGGAGAAAAATTTTCAACTCAAAAGCATATGGAAGTGATTGTTGATAAATCAAAATAAATTAATAAAATTAAAAAAGAAAAAGAAAAAAGTTCTAAGAGTCAGAGACAGGGAGAAAGTGAATTTCATGTATAAGGGACGGCCAAGGCAAAGGCAGAGATAGTGTCAGTGGTGCTGGACCAGAGTACTGGAAAGGTAGTAACATATAATGAACCTAAAATATAGGCTGTAGGCAAGTTGTGAAAGGCCTTTAAAGTCAAACAGACAAGATTTTATTTTAACCTAGAGACAACAGGGAACCCCAGGAGTGTATTAAATGGGAGAGCAAAAGGTCAGATACCCTCCTAAGGAAAATCACTTTGGTAGCTTATGTGGAGAATGGACTGGACCAGAGACCTCCACTAACATTTCACAACTACTGTTCTTTCACCTTCCACTATCACCACCCTGCTGTAAAATGCTATTACCAGCAGCTTAGTATCGTCCCACTTCTTTTGCTAGGTTGAAGGGTTTAGAGTTTAG